TTTTATGTTGGTACCATACAGAGAATTTGTCCCTGTGCTGATGACATCTATTCTGATAATACTGTGATTATAACAATAGTGCATGGACATAGGTGCTAGGCCTCATGTGTTTGTGTAGTTTTGTAATGTTTTTAATATTCATCTTAACTTTTGTAGATGGTTTATGCTGTGCTTGTTTCATATATCCCATCATGTGTTGATGCTGGTGTCTAGAAACAGACTAACTTTGTCAGTTGGGCCCAACCAAGACAGAAGCCAGTCTTCAAAATATTGTGCATTTTAAATAAAAGCAGTATGAAGGATTCAACTTTCAACTTTATTTTCGTCCATAACTGAAGTGAATACAATTGGACATGTCAAGAAAAAAGAACGAATACATCACACGACAAAGTCACATAAAATTTACACATTGATTTATCACTATAATATAGCAACCGTTATAAGGAACATAATAAAAAAATACACAGAAGACCAAATTGAAAATGTCAGTAATAAAAACATGTAAACACAATATTAAAAATAGCAAACCAAAAGATAATCAACAAGCTAGTCATCAATCCAACATTAGTTGAAAAATTCATGAAGAGAATAGAAAGCACTGCACAACAAATAATTTTTTAGTTTCCTCTTACAAACATTAAAACACTTTTGAATTCAAGGGGAAGATAATTAAATATTTTAGTTCCCATATTAATTACACCTTTATTGCAAAAATCGGTATGACAAAATTGGACAAATTATGTTTATGTATGGTATTGTAGCTGTGAATGTCAGAATACTGAGTTGTATATATCTTATTCTTTATTGTAAAACGAAATCTCAAATATATATAATGAGGTAACAGTTAAAATCTTAAATTCACCAAACATATTTCTACAGGATACTTTATTATTAACACCTTTAATCACTCTTAGACATTTTTCTGCATTTTAAATACAGTTAAATAATACCATATTTCAGTATAGATTCAAACTTTGTAAAATACACATTTCTTAATACAGGTTGGCTGAGTCACATAAGGATTTAATCAAATAAAGGGCCTTGTTGAGCTTTTGGCATACGTATTGAGTGTGAGTTGTCCAGCTTAGATTTTCAGTAATACAAATACCCAAAAATTTTACATTCGATGAATAAATTATTTCCTTATTATTTAAGCAAAAAACAGGTCTATAGATTGGAGTAGGTCTTCTTCCCTGAAAGAATAATACTTTAGTCTTATCCGTGTTAATTATGAGATGATTTTCATGGAACCAATTTTCTAATTGATTCCTAATATTTAGGTTTTTTCATTTAATGAAAGTATAATTAGAATGATCAAGTCAAGGAGGATGAGGTGGGCAGGTCATGTGGCACGAATGGGGGAGACGAATGCATATAAGATATTGGTGGGAAAGCCAGAAGGAAAGAGACCACAGGGAAGACCAAGGCTTAGGTGGGTGGACAATATTAGAATGGATCTTAGAGAGATAGGATGNAGCCTCATGAATAGCTAGGGGCAAATCATTTATGAACAATAAAAATTGTAGGGGTCCCAAAACAGAACCTTGAGGTATGCCATGTTTTATAGCCTTGAGTGATGAAGTAAATGTCTTTAAGTTAGAGGTCTTTTGATCCACATGATGAATTTCAACAAACTGAGTTCTGTCAGAGAGATATGAACTCATCCACGCATGAATTATCCCTCTCAGCCCATACAGCTCCAGTTTTGTAAGAAGTAGATTATGATTAATAACATCAAAAGCCTTTGATAGAACTGAAAATATGCCCAAGGCAAATCGTTTATTATCTAAAGCTTTCTGAAATTCATTGATAAAAATTTGGATTGCAGTAAAAGTAGATTTATTCTTTCTGAAGCCATTTTAATCATCTGAGATCAAATTGAATTTATTTAAAAAACTCACAACCCTGTTATACATTAACGTTTCAAAAATTTTAGAAAATAAGGGCAAGATTGAAATTGTTCTATAGTTGGAAATTTCTTGTTTCTGTCCTTTCTTCATTAGGTTTGGAAAGGTACCAGAATTTAATGACAAATTAAATATAAAAGTTAAGGGCTTTTTAATAAACTGTGTACATTGTTTAACTATCATTTCCAGAATCTCATCATAGTCCGCAGAAAATTTCCCTTTTAGTTTACTAGTGACCTTTAGAACCTCTTCTTCAGTAACTGGTACAAAAAACAATGAATTTGCATTATGTATTATGTTATTGACAGAGACATGATCATAATTACAATCCATTTTTAGATTTATGAACTTATCCATGTTATCGACAAATAAATTATTAATTTGATAAGATATATGCTGGGGATTTGTAACTGACATAGAGCCTATTTCTAAACAAATCTTATTATTCGCTTTGTAACAATTTCCAGATACCTTCTTTATTATTTGCCATAGTACTTTAGTATTGAGCCGTTCTAAGCTTTAGATCGCTCACGTATGATGTCATCATGTTTCCCTTGACGGATTCCATCCCCACTATGCAGTATCCTGACGTCAGTCACGTGGTCCCATGTACCCTCTCGTGAAGGGGAGAATTGTACAGGGCAGTCGTGTAGACCAAGTTGACTTGGAAGGTCGGTTACTAGCCAGCAGGTTTGTTGTGGAAAATATTGGTTTCGGCTGGGGCTGTTCTAAATTCCCTTTTGGTGCGATCTGGCTGGCCGGTAAGGACTGCTCGCGGTCGCAAGCCGTTGCTTGAACGCTTGTGACGCGCGTTATTAGATTTGTTTTGTTTTTTTTTCTTCTGAATTTAGACTTGCGTTTGTATGGCCGGAGTGCTTAACATCCTGATATCTCTAGTGTCGACACAAGTGGTGCCGACGGGAAATTGTTTGTTCTAAATGAGCTTGTATTAGTTTCTTGGTCAAATGTGTCGTTTGTTATTTATGTATTGTTATATATTTTTTTATTAAAATTATATTTGTTTGTATCTAAGCCAACGAACTGAGTGTAGCTTCCTCCTCCTAGCTTGGATACCCCATCTCCATCTAGGGGAGCGTGGGAACCAACAATAGGGCCAGTAACGATTGCGCTGTGCCCCTCCTCTTCGTAATAATAATAATATAATAGTAATCAGTGGAGAGGAAGACGAAGGGCGCGGTGCAGTATGGTTCTTTGACCTTAGAATGATGCCGTCATTTTCTCTTTTCCGAACATCGGATATCACTTTCTTATAAATTCTCTGATATTTATTTATGTAATTCAAAGTAGAAACAGATAATGTCCAGAAACACAATAATTGTGGTAAAATTTCCTAATCTGATTAAAATAAAGATTGGCAAGAGTATAAAGTATATTTCTTAATATCTTCAGGTGTTTTCTGTTAGGTCCATTGTAAAAACAGAAAATTGAACAACTGCTTTTTTAGGCATTCTTTACTGAGTGATGAAAAAACACCTTATGTGGAGGTCATGCCAGTTAATTTTGATTCTGAGTCATATTGATTTAAATAAAGCCTGGTTTACATAAGGCCATAAATTGACTTTTCTGTTTATTCCATAAACCTATTCACATAAAAAAAAGTACATCTATCCCTGTGGAGGCCCACATGGTTGTGAGACATTCAGACTCACATTTTCTAGACAGTTGGCTCACAGATGAAGGTGAGGTCATCAGCCTTTCTTGCAGGCTGCCCTTTAACCCCAGGAAGATTCCTGGTACTCATTCCTGTTGAGAGAGTGAATCGACCCCATGGCCATAGTATGGCTGGAAGTATTAGATCAATTGAAGAATCCAATGACCTCATTGGGAATTAAACCTGCAACCTTCCAGCTTGTAACACAGTGCCTTAACCAACTACACTACCGTGTGCCCCCAAACGTATTCACACATATTTTTGAAATGTATACAAAATTGATCAGGCATTTAGAATAGAAAAATGCCTCTCACGCCAATTTGGCACATTTGTGTTGGATTTACCAATCCAATTTCCTTTCAGTATTGCCCCAGAAAACCGTGTTACTGCTACCATGAAGTGAGCTTATATAGCAGTCTGTTTTTTAAGTTTTCCATTTCAGTTCTGTTGCAGTTTGTGCCAATTATTTTGAAATCTGGTCTCTGAGGTATCTGAGGAATGTTTTAGAAGAAAGTTGAAACCTAGCACCGATTTCACCCTATGTCACAATTAGCACCTGGCATTTTGATCCGCCTCCCAACAACTTTGACTTTACTGCTGCATACATAGTATTTTCTACTTGGAGCTGTAGCATCCTTATATTTATACTGGAATCTTCTTTGAGTGTTTAAAGAAGTAGCAGAAACTTGAGATTATCATGCACAACCGCACTTCATGGTAGCTGTTTGAATATTTATTGGGGTAATATATTCTCTTAAATACACTGTTCTCATCTTTATCTTAGTATGCCAGAGAACTGTAAACAAGAAAGGTAAAATTACACTTTTGTATATTTCAGCCTTTATGTTCTTGGAAGGAGATGGGAATACAAAATTCTGAACTGGATGGCAATACCCAGATTAATTTGCCCTTAATTTTGTCATGACTTAGTACCTGGATCATCTGATTGTTGACTCTAACCCATGAGAGACAGCTTTCTGTATAGCTTAAGTTACCCAAACATTCAGGAGGATAATATTTCAGAGGTTAATCAGAATGTTAATATTATCGTCTAGAACAGTACATTTTTTGCACATGACATACAGTAAAATCAGCTTAGGGTACAGAATTGTGAAAACTGTATTCATGAACGTAAAGTTCGCTATATTTACATTTTCAAGTTTTCTGATGATTATTGCGGGTAAATTAAATCCAACTGCTGGAGGGACCAGAATGGCTATGGGGCCTACTCAGTCTCCTATCCAATGGATACTGAGATACTGAGATACTGAGGGTTCTTTCCCAGGGGGATAAAGTAAAAGTGACAGGGGCGTGAAGCTGGTCACTCATCTCCATCTAGTGCCCCATTCGTCCTCGTGTCGTCGTCCTTAATTAAAGCACAGGACAGCCCTACCTCTCTTCATCTTCCTATGCCTGACATATTTATCCACCTCCCCCCAGATTTGACGCACTGTGAGCACTGAAATTAACCTCCGTCACAGTGGAGGATGCTGCTTGATCGTGCTAGATATATTACATAAGTAGAATTAAACCGTTCAGAATTGTTTGATTTCATAATTTCGTTTCGAAGAGATGTTAATTGCCTGATTATTTCATAGAATTACTGCTCATTGTTCTACTGTGTTGTATGTTTGCACATGGATCCAGTCTATATCCATGTTCTGTGACGTTCCGTGAGGTATTTACCTACAACATCCAGTTATATTTATTACCGTCTAAAACCGTGTAAAACGGCAGCAAGAAGGCGTGTTATAGCGTTTGGAGCGGTGCGAGGCGTGTAGAAGAACGACAAAAATGTCTCAGGTAAATTTTGAATGTACATTTTTATTATCGTTTGCTTTCTGTGCCAATAACAAACATGAATATGATACCACTATTCGGTAATTCGTGTTAAAATCTGCAAATATGGCTATAAAATACAACGTTTAAAGTGGAGGTAACGATGCCGAACCTAACCAAGAAAGAGCACTTTCGTGTGATTCAGAAGTGCCCCACATGTCAGAACGAGGCATACTTTACTTTCAGGAGTTCAGGAGTTACCTCTCCTGTATTCTTCAGGAAATTAACCCCATTTCAGAGGCATGTAAATGCCGTATTTAGAAAATGGAGTGGCTAACGGTGAGTTCCTGTGAAGAACTGAAAGTGTTACATAGTGGCTCACTGCTATAAAGATAAAGTTGTCCCTGTGCTTAACTAATCAAGCACAACGCCATGAAGGTGTATGGGGGAGTGAATGTATAGATCCACATTTTTCTTGACCTCGGCACTAGTTGGGGGTGACTGGTCAGCTTTACTCCCTGGCCTCTTTACCCCAGGGGTAAGAGCCGCCGGTACCCAATGGCTAAGAGGTTGGGTGGACCCCAGAGCTCACTGCTATATCGGTGTATTTTGTATTTTACGTATGTGTAGTTTATTTCACGGTCAGTAGCATGTTATATAGCATCAGTTGGTTACTGTTTAAATGATCTCGGTGCCTATGACTGCGTAAAATTAACAAGTCATTCCCCCCTGAGATGCAAGCCAGTTTGTTCCATAGCATTGCACACTGAAATATGCAGTTAATATCAGTTTCATTAGCTTGAAAGTGAGGACAAAATGAGCTCTGTGTCTCAGGACAGAAATTCTGAGGGGGTCTTGTTGAATGTATTGATCTGATGTGGAATGACCCAAGTGCAGACTCTAGTGCACTGATTAACTTAGCCAAAGATATAGTTAAGTAAATACTGAATGTACTTGTAAGTAACAAAAGCCATAGGAAAATCACAGACAGTTCCTGATACAACAGTTCTGTTGTGTGTGTGTGTGTGTGTAATGTTATGAGTTTGAATGTAGTTAGCAGATGGATCTTTTCTGAACCTAAACTTTGGTTAACTTGCCATTGGACTTTAAATGACATGTTATTCTTTTGTCGATGGAGCAGGTTTGTGTAGTGGTAAAACTCTGAACTTGCATTTGGCAGGTGCTCAGTTTGAATCGTGATGGACGCACCACCATCTCAGCTCCCACCCAATTCAAATTCTGGGCTAGTACATCAATTAGACCACAACCACTGCCATCAAGATACTTCCCAATTCACCTTTGAAACTAGGCAGTCTGGATACTGACAGCCTTGTGGCGTCAGGATAGCTTTGTCGGTATAGTGACTAGGCCATGCACTGGGCACCTGAGGAGGCAAGAGGTCACTTCCTAGCAGGAGAAAGATAGATTTGAAAGGATTCTGACGATGGTGTATACTGTACTTCTTTTGGCTTCTTTTGGACTTCACCCATCGTCTGGTATATAAAAGACAAAAAAAAAAAACACCACGTTTCGGAGACTGGATCTGTCTCCGTCTTCAGGTGGATAGGGAAGGATATACCTACTCAGTTGGGCCCCTTAGAAAGCGCTAGTCTCAATCACTGGACCAGACAATGGGTGAAGTCCAAAATAAGCCAAAAGAAGGAGAAAGATAGTTTTGTCTGGAGCATGGCCAATGTCTGTTGCAATAGACACAGGGGTAAAGCATCAGAGACATGAAGCTGACTTGTTACCTTGCTCTAGATTATGTTTCACTTATAGGAGAACAAAGGAATGGTAAAACGGTAAATTTGTCCCTGTTTTTAACTAATTAAGCACTACGCCATGAAGATGTATGGGGGAGTGGATGTATAGACCCACGTTTTCTAGACCTTGGCACTAGTTGGAGGTGAGTGGTCAGCTTGACACACCAGTCGCTTTACCCTTGGGGAAAGAGTCCCCAGTACCCATTTGATAGGAGATTGGGTGGACCCCAGAGCCATTCTGGGCCACATAGGGAAATGAAAATTCTTGTTCCCACTGGAACTCAAACTCCGACGTCTTGCTCGTCCAGCTTGTAGCCAGTCGCTATACTGACTATGCTATCCCAGCTCTTTCTGGGAGATCAAATGATGCAGTAATTCTCCTAGAAGTTTTGGCAAAGTGTGTGCCCAAAAATTTCTTTGGAAATGCTACTGTTGAGTGCTGTAATGAATCTGTATTATTTTGATCAGTCGAAGAGACATTTTCAGCAGGTATTGTAAATAATTGTTGAGGTTATCAGTAAGTGTATTATTTTGGTATTATTAATGTTTATTTTGTCATTATGTGATACATTTGTTTTCGTAATTGTTGCCTTCCTGAGGCTTGAATCGGATAGGGTCAAATGTCTGACTGACACCATGTTTAAATGTTACAGCAGTACGGAAAGTGTGTTCATGGAGACTACAGTGTCATGCATAACTGTAGGCTGCAGTATATTGTCCGTGTGATACAGCATTTTGCTGTGTATGTTCTGTTTTCAGGTGGATAAGGTGGTCAAGGTGTTTAAAGCTGTCACACAATATCCGGCACCATCTTCTGCAAGGATAATGAATGGAGTTGCTGGCAGCAGTGGAGTAACTGTTTTGTCCTCTTGGTCACAAAGAAGTCTTGAACGGGGAAAGTCAGTAAAATTTCAACGGACACATTTTATTGATTCGTTGCAGAAAGCTTCAGATATGTTACCAGTGGATACAACTTCTGAGTATGTCCATTTGCATTCTGTAGCAGTAACATGATTGAGAGGTTGGTTTGCTGTTTGCTTTCTTACATGTTGTGTTCCTTATAGGGCGTGCCTCCCATGATGCATGCAGTAAGACTGAGACCATTTGATGTACTCTGTCACTTGAGGCAGATGCAAGAAAGTACCTGGTGAATGAATAAGGGGTGGGCCTTAACTGATGCTTTCACCACAACCATCAGTGATCTGTTGTCCATAAGAAAGTACCAAACCAAAGGGGACAGTAACAATCTAGAAGTGTATAGGTGCATTTCTGTGTATACATTCTTTGAAGAATTCCTTAATGGATACAGTTATGCAGGATGTATTGGTCATGGATATTCTGTTATGATAGAAGCACAGAGTGAACAGTCTTCACATGTTGATTCATGTACTGTGGATGGCAAAGATATTTCAGGACATGTAATGCAGAATGGCAAACATAAAGGCGTGAAGAGTGCTATCTTTATACATGCTGCACATTTTTTGAGTATAGTTATATAATTATGAATTTGGTGTTAACAACATTCATTAAAAGGGAGCTGGGATAGCATAATTGGTATAGCGACTGGCTATGGGCTGCACAACCAAAGGGTCGCAATTGGAGTCGTGGTAGGGTCAAGCATTTTCTGCATGTCATCCAGACCGGCTCTGGGGCCCACCCAATCTCTTATCCAATGGGTACTGGGGGCTCTTTCACCGTGGTTAGAACGGCCGGGGCATGAGGCTGACCACTCACCAACAACTAGTGCCTTGGCCAAGAAAGTGTGGATTTATACATCCACTCCCCCATATGCCTTCATGGCATAGTGCTTAATTAGTTAAGTACAGGGATATAATTAGGAAGCTGGTGCAGACAGTGTTCACATATTTCCACATTGTTGTCAGGTTACACCAGGTAAAACTGGGAATGCAGGTCAACCTGCTGAACTTAAACGCTGTACAGACATGTTCTGAATTAAGAGAATGTTGTGTTGCACATGTAAAGGACACATGAACATGGAGCACACTTTGCCCCCAAACATATTGTGACGTGTTGCACTATGGAGGACACCCCCTCCAGCGGTGACGTGGCGGCATCGAGCGCTGTCGCTGCTGCGGTTGCGGGCCAGTCAGCGTTCCAACCCCCCTTCCCCACGGTGACATGGCAGTGCTGGCCACTGCGATGTAGCGGGTGAGTCAGCACCCCTCCCCCGCGGTGACGTGGCAGCGCTGCCTACTGTGACATAACACCCGACACCGCTGTTGACACAGGCAACAGCAAACAGTATAAAAAGCCGGCTGAGCAGTATGTGAGAGAGTGTGTGAGCAGGAGTGACAGTGTGGATGGAACAGTCACCGAGTTCAGTTGTAGCAGAAAGAAGAATACTGGAACATGTGATTAGAAGTGATAGCGTGAGAAAAAGATGCTTGGCTCACAAGAGAAGTAATTGGGAGTGTGTAATACAGTGACCCTGGTATAGCTCCCGTATCGTACTGTGAATACGTGTTGACTACTGAGGACAGTGTGAAGAGATTTGTGTGTAGGGTTTTTAAATTTTGTAACTCCGTAACAGTGTTATAATTAANGTTTCCTCAGAAAGTTGGTCAATGGTCTTTCGACGATCTTCATCAATTTCACGCACACTCTTTGTTCCTTCTGGTCGGCCATCTCACTAATCGCCAAAGGGTTGAAACAGGAACGCACACAACAGAGCACCACAGACAAACCACTTAACTCAGACTGACGCCAGCTCACTAACAGTCGCAGGAGACCCCCAGCTAACACCACCTAGCAGCACAACTCGTAACTACAACGCATGCGCGCACAACAGGTCGTTTCCGGTTATTTTTGGGTCCCCCCTCGTATAGACTTTAAGCTTCTTAACACGGAACTGATTTGCAGTATTTTAGCGACTGACAAGTTGGCAAAAATCTGACGGTTTTCACTTTGATGGTTTATAAGTGTTTTATGTGAATCCATGTAATAATTTATATACCACTCTAATATAGCCAGGCAACATGTGGTTGGGCAATATTTACTTTTTTCCATTGGATAGGAGGCTGGGTAGGCCCCAGAGCCAGTCTGGATAACGTGGAGAAGAGAAAATTCTTGACCCTATCGGGACTCCGACCCCTCAGTCGTCCAGCCTATAGCCAGTCTCTATACCGACTTTACTATCCCGGTTCCTAGTGGGGGAGGAGAGGATAGTAATTTTCAGCATTTAGGATACTGATAAACATCTTAAGAATGTCAACAAAGGGAATACAGAATCTCATTGTGAGACCTCCATTATTTCGTAGCCTTTCAGCTGTACTTGAAATGCATCATTATGTAGCAACAGGAAAACACTCTGATTATGTATAATGACTCTATCAGTATGTGACTCGAAAGTCATAAATCTACTTTGGAGTTCTTAATGATATATGTTGCAGGTTACTGTCAGGCTTTTCGAAGTCAGAAGAGTGGCGAGGAGTTGTCCGAGATATTCCTTCTGAACCGAATAAAAAGAAACAGCATTTGGAAGTTTGGAATCATGGACAACTGTGGAAGAGTTTTGATCTCTCTGCTCTTGAAGTTCATGGAGATGTGTATTCTGACTGTGAGTTTCTGTTTCAGTAAACCAGTAACTGAAGAGTTAAGTACATTTGTGTGTAGGATGGTTTCACTTGTGATTCATGAACCCATATAATTTCCAGGTGTATGGGGAACTGCTTTAAGTTTAGCCATAGACAAAAGTTATGGTCCACAACTGATGCGTGTAAAGTTCCTGGACTGATTTCATAATATACATAGGTTAACAGCAAATTTTATGTAAGTGCTACTAAACTAGATTTCTTTCCTTACCTCTGTCCAAGTTCAGGTAGCTTCATTCCTGGGAGAATTTCTGCTTCAGGGTGAAGAGAAGTGTTGCCTGTTCTCGGAGCTGTGCTGCCACATGCAAATGCCTGTCATCTTTAAGCACAAACATAGTCTGTTATCACAATGAAATATGGGTCCAATAAATCTTCAGACTTTTACTTCTAATGCTGCATCTCATTTTATTTTAGTCCCTTAGTAATGTGCATGCCATTTCTCATTTTGTGCCCCTTTATTTTGTTTGCTTTGGGTATAGTATGGCATGAATCAACATTGTGCTTTTTGGTGCTGTTCTATAATCCCTTATAAGCTGAATTTGAGGTTATCACAATGCTGACAGTGGGGTGTAAAGTCTTCTCGAATGTGATGACTTGTAATCTGATAGAAGGAGAGCGCTACTTGCTGCCTACTTCCTGCCAGTGTCTTGCATGGCTTACTCTTCAGTTGGTAGATTTCTGCTGGACTACGTGGCATTACATTCCACATGAGAGTACTCTTCAGTTAAGTCCATGGAGCCGAGTCCTTGAGAAGCCACCACTCACCCAGCTAGTCAAGAATTAACCGACATTTCATGGAACCCAAAAGTTCATTGCCATGCTCACAAGAGCCCACCACAGGTCTCTATCCTGAGACATCTATCATGTTGATACTACTACATCCTATTGCTTTAAGATCCATTTTAATATTATCCTCTCACCTGCATGTAGGTCTTCCTATTGGTCTCTCTCCTTCTGGCTTTCCCTCTCAAACTCTGTACACATTCCTCTTTTCTCCCATGCATGCTTCATGTCATGCCCATTTTCATCTCCCTGGCATATTCATTCTAATTATGTTTGGTGAACAGCACAAGTTGTGAACTTCCTTATTATGTAATTTTCTCCAGCCTCCTAGTAGTTCATCCCCTTTGGGTTGTCCTCAGTGCCCCGTTCTCAGACACCCTCAGTTTGTGTTCTTCCTTCAGTGTGACAGACCAAGCCTCTCAACCATATAAAACAAGAGGCAATATTATGGTTTTGCATATTTTCATTTTTAGATTTCTAGACAGGAGACAAGAAGACAGAAGGTCCTAAATTGAATGATAGCAAGCATTGCCAAAATTTAATTTGCTCTAAATTTCGTCATGAATACAATTTTGATACGTTACTGTCATTCTGAAATATTTGAACTTTGCAACATTCTCAGTGGATCTATTACCTGTCTTTATGTCAGGATTTTGCCCTGCATTCTGGTGACTGAGACATCAATGTGTGCTTTTCTCTGTGTTTACTTCTAGACCAGCCTCTTTACTATCATGATTTGCTTTATGATACTTGTGTTATCACCGAGCAGATTACATTATCAGCACAGACCAGAAGTTGATGTGTCCCAATAAATTTTTCAGCTCCCTCTGGTTTCCTTGAGTCTCCCTAAAGAAATATTCTAAAGCAAAGTTGAGGAGCAGTGGTGATACCGTGTCTCCTTGGGTACTGTTCAGACCTCCAATAAAATTTATAACATATTTTCCCTTTGCAGCGAAAACTGATTTTGTTGTTGCTGTTGCTGTCCATGTGTGTGCTCTCTTGCTTGTGGATGCAGTGGGGGAATGAGACACCATTCTCAGTTGTAATTAAATTACCCTTTTTGAACACACTGAAGCAATGAATAGTAATTTATTTATTGAATTAAATTTGCATCTCTGGTTATTCATATTGTTTATATAGTCAAACTAGTCATAGTGTCTTTAAATAACTGAAATTTTTTAGCGTGTCAAGAAATTTGGTTCGCTTGTTGGTTTCCATTATTTTGCTACTGTATCTCTTCCATTCTAAGTCAGTTATTTGTTGCAGTTGTATTGTAGTATGAATCATTTATTTGCAGATGATTTTCGATCCTTTGAGTGGTCCCCATGTGAAGAAAAGTTGCTGTACGTTGCTGAGAAGAAACTGCCAAAGGCAGAACCATTTTATAAGCCAAAATCTCAGGATAGTAAAGAGAATGGAACTGGGGATGGAAAAGCCATAAAGGTGTGAAATCACATTTTGTTACAGCCAGATTACATCACTAGAGCTGCAAAAGCTCAGACACTTCAGGCTTTACTCTGTTAAGCTCTGGCCTTCTTCATTAACCATATATGCATACAGTGCTCAGTGTTACCACACTCATTTCTGCCACAGCATTTCACTGCAATCTCAATAAGGTAAAGGAAGTTTAGAATGTTAGTTGTACCTACAATAAATACAAACCAAGTCCATGTATAAAGAGTGCATTGGAAAATGTTCCATTGAAGAACAGGGTGGCACATGAAATGATCTAATATTTGATCTGTTACTAGAATCTTAATTTCAATGACAATACTAGAAATTAACATACAAAAAGAAAGACCATTGCATGGAGATTTATGCTATGTGAATTAAGTGTTCAGCATGACCACCATTATGTCTGGCAACTTCTTCAACACTAACCGTGATGTTGCTGATTACTGGATGGCACATATCCTCAGTTATCTCATTGCAGGCATGAATGATTATTGCTTTCAATTTCATTATTGTTAGCACCTTTTTTAGAAAAATCTTTTCCTTAAGGAATACCCAGAGAAAGTAATCACATCGGTTTAAATCCACATGCAAAATGATCAGGAACTCGGTTTGAGGTGACACTCAAGTTATGCAGAAAGTCCAAAACAACATTTGCTGTGTGTGTGGCCTGGATCCATCTTGCATGGATCAATGAGTCTGTAACGGCAAACCTGTAGCAAGAATGTGCGGCACAAAAGTACTGCTCAACATGCTTAAATAGCACTCACTGTTCACTGCCTCTTCAACGTAAATTGGCCCTAGCAGTCCATGACTTGAGATGGCGACCCACACTGTAATTCTCGGTGCATGATGCACCTTCTCATGAATCATACATAGACGTGTGCCTCATCAGAAAACCAAACATTGTTTACCAGTGCCTTGTTATTCTGAGCCCATCCAACAAATACCATTCTTTGATGTGTGTTTTGATTTGTAAGTTCATGCAGCACTGTCATTTTGTATAGATACAAATTCAGATCAGTTTTCAATATTCGTTGTATTGATCATCTGGATATCCCTAGTTGTGCTGCAGCCTTCCTTGTTGTTTTATTGAGGCTTCTTTGCAGCGCCACTCTGACAGCGTCAGTGTTCTCCACATAGTGTACAGATGAAAGCCAGCGACATTTCATCACCAACATTGGACCATCATTATTAGACTGGTTGTAAAGTTTAGGAATTTTTTTGAATGAAGTCACCCTTGCATTTGAAAAATGGGCATGAAACTACTTCTGTTTGCCTGCAACACTTTGTGTTTCAGTAAAGAATAGCAGTCTTTTTGTGAGTCGTTCTACAGACAGTCTTCCTTTGTCAACTATCTTGTGTAAACTGGCACATGAGCAGGAACAGAGCAGCACTAGCACACTCAGGAAGTGTAAGAAATAATCTCCATGATCTACTGTAAGTGTTACCATGTTACAAAACATCATTCATTGCATGGTTGAATAAGTAATGCTAAGTCAAATACTGGATCATTTCGTGTGTCACTCTGTATATCTTTAATTCATATGTGGAAGCTGGTTAGAATACCTTCGTCATAGTCCTGCAAGTTGTACAAGGCGATGAAAAGGGAACCTAGTGCTTGGGGGTACAACTGGACCACCCTGTCACAGGGTTGCATAAATAGACCTGGCTCTCCAGGTTAGGGGTTGAACGCAAAGTTCACAACCTTGCTCTATAAAAAAATCGTTGTGAAAACAATTCTGGCAGAATCTTCTAACAAAGGCTATGGTTCAAAAAGGGCTGTTTCGCTGATGAGGATGGATATATACTGGAAACAGCAGTCAGATTAAGGAAATTCAAGAAGTACAAAGTTCTCAGACTGGGTGACTGTGTTAGTCGGGTTTGGAAATGTGTGCAATAACATTTCAGGGAGAGGAGTACGTGTTCCGTCCCGACTGGGGAGAACAGTTAGAAGGAAAACATCAATCTGTGGTAATAGTGTGTGACACGAAGTCAGAAATGCTATCAGTACTTGAAGGGATTCCAGATCATCTGTCACCAGGCCAAGTGATTTGGACTCCTGATGGGAAGGGCATTGTGGGAATTGCCTGGAAAAATGAACCACCGCGTCTTGGGCTCATCTACTGTACCAACAGACCAAGCTATATCTTCCATTTAACAGCAGATGGAGAATTCAGTAAGTTTGCTTTATCTAATAGAGACCTGCTCTCAACCTTCAGAGGCTTAGTGGGAAGTATGGTAATACTATAGACTTTGATGCCCAACTAATAACAGAACTGACTCTGGAAAAAGATACAATTTTTATTAATGTTCACAGAGTGTCCTCACTTTCCAACTGCTATAGACATTCCTGTGTCTTCAGAAATTGCTTAAAATCACTTTGAAAAAATTCTTTCAAACTTTCATCCCGTTGCTGTCAGTGCTTCAAAATGAGTCCCTTTCAGGCACATGCAGTTTATACATCCTGTGAGGAAGCACAGTGGAACTGTGATAGAGCAAGTATGGATGATAAGAAGGAAACATCAGCAATGTCATTGTGTTGATGTTGCATATATGGGAAAATCTTATATAAAACAAGGGAACTTTTTCAAGCAGTGATTCCTCCTCTTCCTTCTTCTTTGGCTATACGGTCCTTCTAAGTTTAACTTCTGCCTCCCTCACTATTCCTGCTCATTCTCGTCTATCTTCAGCCTTCTTTCTCCATTACCTTATGCCCATATTTCTTAAATCATTCACAACATATTGCTCCAGCTTGGTTTAAACTCCTCACATTCCAGGAAGCCATAATCCAATCCCATTTCATTTTCTTACAAGAAGGTCATCTTGAAAAGTCCAACAGTAGTCATTGGGTTACTGAACAAGTAATGTTTTTTGGGGAGAGGTTGTTAGCTTTTACCCAATCCCCTTAACTAAGGAGGACTGCTGTTCTTTTGTCAGGGTGTATTCCCTTAGGGGGATTGGCTTCACCGCACCTAAAGAGGCCCCATACCCTTGGTTTTTCTGTATGGGGTTTACTTCCCTTAGCCAGAGAGTCCCATTTGAAGGCACCAGACACTCGCCTTCCACCCCACGCCATCTGTTACATCAGTGCTCTCACCCCAGAATGTGTTGCCCTGGGTGGGTGAGCTAGGACTTACTGGCAGGCCCCTACTTAACAGGTGTCATTATGGTACTTAATGGTGTGCACCTACTGGCATAAATGCACCCCACCAGAGCCATTTACCAGCCTTTGACTTTCATTAGTGATTCCTAGCTAGCCACAAGTTCTTATGTAACTTGTAATTACGTGTTCGCTTGTATATAGTTGGGGGTCCATAGAGGTGCTATTAAACCACAAGCTGTGCCTGCCCTTGTTTGGGGCAGGAAGGACTTCTAAAATCTGTAAACTGTATGTGTAATATGGAATTTTTGTCACCCCGTGGCTGAAGGATTAGCATCCGTAGCATCCCACTCTCAAGGCAGCAAAATATTGCCACTTTTCACCATGTACATGTGGTTCATACAGGTGGGATTTGAATGAATGAATGAATGAATGTATGTATAAGGGGTGGGGCTTCTCGGCCCTTGCACCATGACCTACAGTTGTCTATTGTGCTTCCCCTTTTGATTATCCCCTCAGCAATCCTGTGCTTTGAATGACGCGCAGGATTTTGTACTTGGGGATGTCGAAATAGTCACTTGGTTCCATAAAGTATTGACTCAAGTAACATAATCTTAAATAAACTAAGGCCTCACATTCATACAGGATATGTGTGCCTGTTTCATTTTCATCTTCACACCTCTCACAAGTGGGACTGTCACTTAGTCCCAGTTTGAAGAGGTGTCCTTTAAGGTAACAGTGTCCTGTAAGTAGTCCCACCACCCATCGTAGCTGGTTCCTGTTTAACTTCAACGTCCTCATATGAGTCCCTTTGCTTGCCTGAGTCCAGTCAAGGATCCCCAGTATTTCTTGTGATTCATATTTGTCCAGTCCCTGATTGCCTTTCTGGCAACTCCTATAGAGATGCCACAGGCTGGTTCAGGTCCTATGAACGGATCTTCAGCTCCAGTCTTAGCTAATGGATCTGCTGTTTCGTTTCCAGCAATACCCTCATGCCCCGGCACCCATATCAGTTGTACCCTGTTATGTTTGACCAGTTCCACGAGGGTTTGGTTGCAATCCCAGACCAATTTTGAGTTGATCTAGTGTTTGTCAAGTGCTTTAAGTGCAGCTTGGCTGTCAGATAGAATGTAGATGTTTCTATTTCTATAGTTCCTATCTAAATTCTCCATAATACATGCCTTGATGGCACATATGTCTGCCTGGAATACTGTCGTGTACTACCCGAAGCTGAAACTAAGTTTCTGCCTTGTGCCATAGCAGTACACACCAGCTCCGGTGCCCTTATTTATCTTGGAACCATCTGTATACCAGATCAGTCCCCCTTTTCTATCGGGCCAAAACCCGTCTTCTCATTCACTCCTGTCAGGAAACCTGACTGTGAAGGGTTTTTCAGATACATGTCACAATATCATTTTGTCAGACCCCATTTGTAATATGGGTTCTTTTATCACGTTCTTAGTTATGTATGCATGGCCGAAACCATTGGATCTAGGTTTCCATTGATCACTGCACTGGAGATGGTAGATTCCTGCCCTGACCTCTGCCTCCAACTGTAGATGCAGTGAGGGGAGTCCAAGGAGTATCTCCAGTGCGGCTGCTGGAGATGTTTGAATTGCTCTTCTGATACCCAAGCAAGTCAACCTTTGCAATTTGCAAAGTTCTTGAGTTTAACTCTGGGCCACCATACTGTGGCACCATATGTAATTATGGGTCTTACAACCGCAGTGTATATCCAATGCACAATGTGCGGCTGCAGTCCCCGAGTTTTACCAAACATGCTTCTACATGTTCAAAAAGCCTTATAGGCTTTGTTAATGACCTTGTCCAGCTGCGTTTTCCATGTCAGTCCCTTGTCTAATACTAGACTAAGGCACTTGACATCACTGGAGAGTTGGATCATCTTATTGAAGAGGGTCAGTTCCTTAAGCTCCCTTATATTTCTCTTCCTAGTAAACGGTATAATTACCATCTTATTGGGAATGACGGAAAGACTTGTTCTTTTGCACCATCGTTGGACCATGTACAGAGCTGTTTGAAGATAATCTGATACAGTTGAAAGGAATTTTCCATTTATGAGGATTGTTATGTCCTCAGCATATCCTACTGTATAATTCCCATCATCATTAAGTCTCCACAGGAGATTGTCGATGACCAGGCCCCACAGCAGAGGCAAGAGCCCCCCCCCCCTGTGGAAAACCCCTTGATGCGAACGCCCCCAGGGTTTCTCCTGATAATGTAGCTGCTGTGGTTCTGCTTTCCAGCATAGCACTGATCCACCTGCATATTGCAGGCTCTATGCCATGCCTTCCAGCAGCCTGTTTGATTATATCAAATGAGGTTCTATTGAAAGCTCCCTCTATGTCAAGGAATGCTCCTGAGGCAATATCATTGTGTTCAATCGCACTTTCTATGCGTGTTACCACATTGTGTAGTGCGGTTTTGGTAGATTTACGTGTTTGGTAGGCATGCTGGTTTCAGTGTAGAGGATATGTCCTCAACGCCCCATCCCTGCTATGCCTATCCCCTATTTTCTCCATTGTTTTCAACAGGATAGACAACAGGCTGATAGGACGATAAGCTTTAGCCTCGGTGTAATCAGGTTTCCCGGGCTTTGGGATAAACATCACCTTAACTTGCCTCCATGCCATGGGATAACACCATATGCCATGCAGGCTCTATATATGCAGCATAGGTGTGGAACTAAGAGTTCTGCCCCTTGCTGCAAAAGTGCTGGTACGATTCCATCTGTTCCCACTGACTTAAATTGTCTAAAGGTATTCAGTGCCCATCTGATTTTTGATTGGTTAATTATGACTTTAGCCAGGTTCCTGTCTTCCCTGTTTGTCTTGCTTTGGCAAGTGCCCAGGTTTTGCTGACCCTGTCCATCGTCCAAATTATCAATCAATTTTGAATCAGGAAAGTGAACCCTGAACAGTTCATTCAATGTCTCCCTTCCTGTTTGAGTACACTGGCTGTTAGGCAGCTTAATCGTGCTGGTCTTATTGGTCGCCTGTTTTGCCATGATCCTCATGAGTCTGGCACAGCCTGGTACATCGTTGATCTCCTGGCAATGCCTCCTCCATGAGGATCACTTGGCTTTCCTTATTTCTTTGTTGTAACAGGTAAGGGCTTCCTTGTAGATGTCCCACTGCCCTGTTCTTTTAGCTGTATTAAACAACCTCCTCATTTTGGTTCTAAGCCCACTCAGCTGTTTACTCTACCAAGGTGCTCTCCTTGGTCCGCGAGTGGTCTTAGCCAGACAATTCAGATTAAAGGACGAGATAATAGCCCATTGCAACTGGTCAACGGACCGATCAACATCCTTTATTATGTATGTATTTCGCAAGATGGTCTCCAGATTTACCTTTAGGTCGTCTTTGTAAGACTTCCAATTGGTTCTCTTAGGATTCCTATAATTAGCTTGATCTACTCTAATGTTCCTTATTTGAAAGAATATATATCTGTGATCCGATAAGGACGGCTCATCAGATACATGCCAATTGCTTACCAGGTTTTGTATGTTATTTGTCCCTAGTGTCAAATCAATAACCACCTTCCTATTGCAAACTACAAAGGTACAAGGTGTGGCAATAAAGAACCCGGATTACCTTTATGACTCTTTTCCGGCCACGTCATTGACGAAGAGGAGGGTAGGGCATTGACCCTTGGACTTCCCTCTACCGTCACACAAAGTTTCATTCACGTGCATCGGTTAGTCTGGCCGCGACCATTGTTAGAAGCGGATCGTGTTTCTGAGCTCCGTCGGAATAATGCTGAGTGCTAATGCAGAACAACGTGCTAACATCAAATTCCTCACAAAACTTGGAAAATCTGCCACTGAAACTTACAATTTGTTGACAGAAGTATATGGTGATCAGTGTCTATC